ATTTTGCTCTGAATTATATATACGGAAGTGTTATATATATATATATATATTACTGTGTATACTACAGTACATTAAAAGCTGCTTTCTCTTAAGATCGTGTAATATTATCATGTTGTTGAGCTGTTGTTGTCGGATTTTTATTTCAACATTATTATACATTAGAGAAGCTAAAAATAAATATTTGAATAAATATGTTACAGAGAGATCTGGTCCGAGAATGATTGCTTTTGAAGAGCGGATATGCCTCCCGAGGAAGAATTTCTGGCTCTACGAGAAATTTTCTTTGCAAATTTGGGAGGTGAGTGATTTTTCAAAAATTTCTTTTTTGATTTTATGTTTAACATAGAAGAACATTTGGCGCTTCTCTCATCGCCGTTTTTATAATACAATTATTTTAATGAAATCCGTGGTAGTACGCGAGTTAACCAGATAGAAAACGAAACATCACGTATTGGCTATCTTCGGTAACTCGTCTAAAATAAAGTTAAAACTTGGTACCTCCAAAGCATAGGTCGTTAACATTTTTTGCTCTCTTGAGGATTGCCAGTGCAACTTCAGTCTATCGCGAGAAACTTATATCCTCTTTGCATATGTAACCCTGTGAGGAAAGAGTAGTTCCTGTTTTGCGTCCGCCTAATTATAAAGAGCAAAGTCTGTTATTAGATTAAAGTACGAAAGTAATGAGCTGTTTTCCTTCCTTTACGGAGATGACTTCGTTACGTCTGCTAATTTATTGAATTATGAATTTTACTCAAAAACATTTGAAAGAAAAGTGAACGCGCCGAATATACGCAAGCTGTAGTAATATCATTTTATATTAAGAAAGTATCAAAAGAGAAAAGAAAGATATATAAATACATGAATACATTCAAGATGCTCTTCCCTTGCAGGGACGATTTGTAATAACTGGCGCGTATATCATGACGCAAATTTAATTAAACGCGCCGTTGGTATTCATTTCACGCGTCTAATTTATGTGTGAATAACTACGCTATTCAGTGCCGAGATTTCGCGACGATCCGGGTCCGCCATGTATTTATCTCTGTTTATTACCAACACAATAATAGCTGCTGTAGACGTTTTAAATCCCTTAATTTTTTTGTTATGCTTCTACAAATAGAAGCAGTTTATTTTAATGCAAAAAATTATTCTTGCGCTTATGTCTTTTTTTATGGTAAAATTTTTTCATCTATATATTTCAGTATATATAAAAATTAAATCATTTTATTCTGCAAAAGTCGTTATTGTTATTGAATATTATATACAGATTGAGATAAAGCACAACACAGGTTGGTATTTCTTATAATGAAAACTTTTTAAGAAAAAATAATTTACGTTTATTATTTTATTCAATTATATAGACAATTCTTAATCGAATTTATGAGTCAAAGACAAAACAAATATTATTTAATATCTTGTTTTATAAAATCGGTATTTTCTCAATTATTAATTTGATTTCAACCTATAAAATTATCGATTAGAGAGACGTCTCTCTTTTTTCCTCTATTTATTATAGACATATTAGTAATGTCTCATTATACGGTTGTCGAATGCGCGTTCAACTTCTTTTAATCGCATTCCGCAATGTATGAATTAAAATCCACATTACAAATACTGAATATTAAATATTTATGACATGATAGCTTATGGCTGTTATGTACACCTCATTATACATATAGATGTGACAGCAACTGACAATCATATGCCATCGTCGTCATATAATATTTATCCAGAGAGTATGTATAAAACATCTCTCTCTCGGTTTCGAAATATATATCCGGACTGTTTTATTTTACGATGTAAGTAGAGAGTCTGAAACATTCATTATCTCCATCACGCGCACGTGAGAACCTCACGTGCAATCTATACGCATTAACTGAATCTTGTTTTGTTTTTCTCAGACGAAAGATTCTCAAAAAGAGTAAAATCTCTTATTTTTTTTTATTTATTTTTAAGCCCACTCTAATTGATTGACTTGTGTAATTTGAAAATTACTCGTATAAATATTTAATGTTAACAAAAATTTGCAATCTATGCGTGTGATAATTATTGTTGAAACTAAACGCACTGAAAAAAATTAATTTAACGTCAAGAAGCTCATAAAGACGAAACGCTTGTATTCTATGCATATATAAAAATACCGTCTTTAATATCATATAGTATATAATGGTAATGTCATTCATTGTTACATCTATGAACATGATAACACGTGGATTCAAGGTTGTAATGAAGGGAATCATTTGTATAGATGCGTTTAAATATTTTGGTGTTCATATAGCACAATGCATGTATGAATTTTGTCGGAGGGAAACGGAGTCGCAGTCGATCCGAAGCGCACATTGGCTTCATCGATTGAAGTTGTTTTTCCGTTTCAACTGCTTCTGCACACATTTTACGCGTCTGGATAGCTGTACTTTGCGATTCGATCGTATCACGATAGTTTCGCATGCATTGTATATAATAGAGTATCTGTTTCGCGTTGATAAAGCACATTGCGGAAATTGGCGGGTGTGCTTCGCGAGACAAGCTTTTCCGTACAGTTTACACTTCGTTTACATCGAAAAATACGAGAACTGTCAAAACATATTCAATCTATGTATGTAAAATACGCGCATAGGTATTTAAATATTATTATCACGCTTTGCTTTTTTTTTTGCTATTTCAATTTCATAGTTGAAAACAGATTTAAGAAATCTGTATGAAAGATTTTTCGGGTGGAGTTCCGAATAGGTGAACCCTCCGATTTTTTTGAAACTACACTATTTTTTGTATTTTTGAACGGGAACATAAATAATGTATTTTTTAAAGAACTGCAACCTTTATTTGAAACATTTTTTTGTTACATCAATATTTATTGAAATAATGTCTAAAAAGTTATATTTTTTCAGTTTTTTTGAGTTTTGACCTTGAAAATGACCTTGTCGCAAATTTTCATTATCATATTTGTAATCAGCGTTAAAAAATACAAAAAATAGTGTAGTTTCAAAAAAATCGGAGGGTTCACCTATTCGGAACTTTATCCGATTTTTCTATGCAATATAATTTCTTGTTTTTAAATCCCGCTCAATATTAGACTAAAATAATGATGGCAATCTTGCTCGTAGTATTGTCACATTTTGAGTTAACAACTTGGACAATTAAATATTCTTCGAATAAACTGCTTCTCTCTTGAACTTCTCAACGATTTCTGTAGAAAATAACTTCGACAACTTTGTAGATAGGAGGTCAGAGAGATCAGATCACGAGAGAGGAGCAAACGATTATTTGTCATCCGTGACAAGGATACTTCATCAACAGCATTTATAAATAATCGCGATCGATATCGAGGAGGTTGCCTAGCATACCGAAAGCTTTTATTTATTCACGTCTGTCTGCGAGTAGAACGGTATCGTACTAGCATGTATAAAGTATACGTTTCATCGACTTACTCGGACTGAAGTATGAGAATAGGATGTAGAGGAAGATGTGTGCTGTACTTGGGCGCGATTTTTCTTTTCTCTTCGCTCGATTCCAACTTGTTAGACCGAATGGGTGATGGATGCTCGCGAGGAGTCAGCCCATGTGTTCTTTTCTCCTCGAAGTCGAAGGTTTGATGAATGAAGGTCGAATTGAAAAGTCTTGGAACGGTGAAGCGCAGTGACGAAATTTGCATGCCACGATCGTACGAGCGATTCCTCCTTTATGTCTACGCCATTTGTATATGTTTGGTTAACTAATACATTTTACATCAAGCTTTTTTCCCCCTTGTACTTATATCTACACAATTATATATATATTTTATATTAGAAATTAATTTTACCTTTATTACGATAATATTAAAGAATCGTAGATATACTCACGTGATTTCTTAAATTTTACAAGTACGAAGTTTTTTTACCGTTCCTCATCCTTGAATTTGTACTACTATAATAATTTTGCTTGTTTATCGTAATGCGGAAGAAAACCATTTATAACATTTCCTGAAAAAAATACCGTGTACCTAAAATACGTAGATTGGTGGCGGATTTCGACTATATGTCGAGGAAGTGGAAAAGTAGCTCTTCGAGAGGTATGAAAGAACTTTTATGGGGGTGGAAACTTCGTCTTCCTTCCGAGCGGCGTGAAACCATAGGAACGAACGAGAATTATTTAGTACAAGACGCAGAGTAAACAACAGATCTACTACCAACATTTGTTCCGAGTTTTACTCTTTTTTTTTTTTTTGCGCAACTCTTCTGAAACGACTCTCTGACGATCCCTCCTTTTAGCAGAAATGTTGTCGGAAAATGTGCATTATTTGCAATCAGCTTGCACTTTGCGCTGCTTACCGATTGAAGTTGAAGTTAATGCGCAATAGCGGGATTGACGTTTAGAATGCAAATTCTATAACTTGTATTTCTGAATCCTTTACAGAGGCACTAAATTCAATTGAGTATATATTTTGCTTTCTTTTTTCGCAATATACTTTTGCATTGTGGTATTATTCTTTTTATCTCTCGCTATGGCAACGCAGGTGAACAATAATCAGATCGAATCGAAGTTCCGGGGGATTTGAAGCAAAGCGGGAGCTGATATTTACATCCTACGTTTACTCGAGCGATCGCTATCATATGTTTGCATTCTCGTAACATCCTTCCTCTTTCCAGGACATCGGTCCGTGAGATAGTTCGGCCAAAATCGGTACGCCACGTCCGCTTTCCTCCGATCAAATTGCGATGCATTGTGTTACCTCTTGTGATTTCGGAGTAAGCCAATGTCTATTGTTGGATTTGCTGATTTTATACAAGATTTTATTTTTTCCGGACATTTCGTAAAATGTCAGCGTATTTTTTAAATCAGTACATCAATTTTCTTTAAATTCTGTAATTTCTTTGAAAAAAAGTCATTCTTGTAGAAAGTTTCTTTTATTGCCCAGTAGGTATTTATCGAAATACTTTTAAAATTTTTCTTTTTGAGGATAATCTTATTTAGACAAATTTTATGATTGTATCATAATATGTTAAATATTAATTATATGTTTATACCATTAATTATAATGGTTAATTATAATGATACCATTTATTCACATTTCTTTGCCATTTTATGAATAATATACTTTTGGTAGAAGGTAAATGTAAAATAAATGTTTTATACGAATTTAAAAATTCTTCAAGCGATTTCTTGTGAAGAAATATAAATGTCTGTACTCTCGAGTAACACCCGAGTATTGAGTGGAGCGTTCAGAGGGTACTTCAATCTGACATTTAACGGCATTCCGGTATCGAAGAGACAACCGTGGCGCGTTAATGTTTCTTTTTTGTCGTGTTCCCTTCCTCCTGC